TCATTATATTAAAAAATTGAATGTATGAAGAGTTGAGATTTTATTGTTTTGTTTACTTGGACTGTAAACAAGTATTTTTTTTTTTAATTTTCCTTAATACCAATTAAATATATATTTTTCTGTTTTATATTATGACCGTCGTTGAACAGCCGATCCAATTTCGAGTTTGCGACTACTAATATTCCACTCCGTAACCTTGTCATTTTGAACCCCAATCCAGAAGACCAAGGAACTCCTGGATGAAATATTGGGAGAAATTTCACTTCGTGGAGTACTTTTTGATCGAACTAACCCAGTGTTATAGTAAAATTATAGATAATGTAGGTATTTAATATGATATAAAATTATTTTCCAGTTAAAGAGAAGAATTGAACATGAATTAACACCAACATTACTCGAAGATAAATCCTTGTACTATAGATTTTTGAAAGGTATGGCATTCAGATAAACATTCCATTTATAAGTTAAGTTCTTTTTCTATTTTACTTGAAAGTTCAAAATTACAATAAATGAATAAATAAAAAAAGCATTGAAATATTTTCTTAAACGTTAGATTCAGATTTCCAGTCTTTGACAAAAAAAATTCTTGTGTCTCTATATTTAAAAACTGTAGGATCCACTGTTTTGTTGGGCGTTCAACGTAACATTACATTTATTTTGCTGCTCAAATTGTATTAAAATTAAAAACTTGGAATAATGGAGGTGTGCAGAAAAATTCACAATTCGAAGTTGCCAGGTACACACAACAAAAATATATCATGGTCACAATACAATACATAAACAAATGACAAATCTAAGTTAGGTAAAAGAAATAAACTAGAAAGAATTATATGTCAATGAATTCAATCTGCTATACGATTCTGTATTTAATTGATGTTAATTATCATTTCAAGTAACGTAGAGAAACTTAGCTCAACTTTAATACTCCATGTTGCAGATTAAGATTAGCTGGCGCTGACTTCATAGGTCACATACGGGGTATTGACTTCTTGGGGAGCAAGTGTCCAATCAAAGAGTTAGAATTTGACACGTTGAATGTAATAAAGAAATGCGAATGGGGATGATTAGCTGTTGCCAAATATAAATAATAACATCTGACTCAAAGTTTTTAAAAATATAAAAGGTTCAAGAGAGATGATAAACGTTTCCAATTTGAACTGTTATATTATAAGGTTACTGTTACAGATTGTTAACTTCTAAATCTGCCATTAATAATTAAGGATATTTCTGTTCAAGTTTAACCATAATATAGCAAAAAAAAAGAAAAAAAGAAATACTATGATTTGCTTCCCATTAGCCCCATATGAAGGTTGCAGCAAATATGGAGAATCTTACGGTTCATCGAGCTTTAAAATTTCCTTAAGTGCAGTTTTATTATTAAAATTGAAAAAAAGCACTCTTTCATACAGTTATTATTATGCAGGACATTCACTACACACTTTTTATTTAACGCGGAATAACTTAAAGCCGTTTTAAAGGTTATATAAATCGAATAGTTCTTTAGCAAGCACAACAAGTTAAATTCAAAATGGAATATTCTTTAATTTTTGATATTGTTACTTTTATTTCCAGCTCGAGACTTCAACATTCCACATGCAGAAGCTCTAATACGGAAGGTATGAATAAAATATTATTGTTCATTAATTTTTATCATTATAATTTCAAACAGGGTTCGAAATAAGTGGTCGTCAGTCATAGTTTGCATCAAAGAATTTAAATATGTCGCCTAAAAAGTTATTCAACGTCGCCAGTTTTGGCGCTAAACTTTTAAAATACCTTTTTTAAATACATGGATTCACTCTTTTAGCCGATCTATACGACGGACGAGAAGTTTTGTCACACGCTTACGTCATCGCATTTTTGAAATTTTTAATAAGATGTTATTAGGACATGCAAATTTGAGTTATTGAAGTTATACTTCTTATGCGACTTCCAACAAGTTTGCGTTAAACGTTAAACGCTACATTTTTATTGGCCTGGAAATCACGTGGTAGGATCCAGTTTTCCCTCATTCCTTTCCATATTGTTTTGGTTCTCACTAGCATAAAAATAATAAAAGTCATAAAAGTATTGTTTTTCTATAAATATTTTTTTAGTTTGTTTTGATACACATATAATTTAATAGGGTAGTATTTTTTATTTTCAAATTTAGTGGATAACAATTGTAAAAAATGAGTGAAAACAATCCCACGGACAATGCGACGGATTTAAGGTTATGTCAAGGTACGTCTCTTGTGAATATCAATTGATTGTTAGGTTTTCTCTTCTGAAATTACATTATGACGCATTCACATACATTATTAATACAAATACATTTTCCAGGGCGAGACGATGAGGCAACCACAAGCACTTCCACTGGTTCAAGAGGTCCACGAGGGAAAAATGCACAATATTACCGTGATTACAGAGCACGGAAGCGAGCGGAGCAGGAAAAAGAGTCGTTGAATAGAACTAGTGATCCTTCTACGACTGCTGATTCTTCTACAATTAACGTCGCAGGTTACGAAGTTTAACTTCTTCCGCGCGGAGAGACTCCACGCACTATTTTTTTCATTTTTTGACGAGTTTGATTCATGACGATTCCACTGTAATTTCACGTCGTTGGATGATAATTTTTGCGGCCCTCTTCACATGCTACATACATTTTCAACAAAAAAAAGCTAAATTTGTGTATGAAATTATAGCTTCATTTATTATAAAAGTAATTCTAAGCATACATTACCTCTTGCGTTCTTAAATTTAATTGCTGCCGATAAAATCCGCTAATTTTGTCTGAGTTTTCCGTTTGAAATAGAAACAAAAAGGGAAAGGGATTTTACTGCTTTCTCTAAAAATTAAGTGACTTCGAAAATCAATTCAATGCCATTTCCCCATGAAATGCGTTAACAAGAAATGTTCTGAAATATTTTGAGAAATAGGGGAAGTGGATCTCAAAAAAAAAAGTTCATTAAATAGAAAGTTCTCTTCGTTATTTTGAAGTTATTTTACGAAGAAATTTCCAAAATGAAATTTCGTTATTTTGAAGTTATTTTACGAAAGAATTTCCGAAATGTTCTTGGTTCCGCGAAAAAAATGGTAAAATAGAAAAATTCGCAAAATGGAAGTTCGTTGAATAGAGGTCCGACTGTACTAGGAAATAAATACTTATGGTTTTACTCTTGACCGAAATGGCAAAGATCACTCCTCATGCAACAAAAAGATTTTTTTTAAGATTCGACAGACAAAATTTACAGTGAGCCACAAATGTATAAATTTCAGAACTTGCATGCCGATGCACAGTGCCTAAAAAAGCAAAGTATGCATTATGCACTTTTAGCGGGATCTTAAAACTGATCTTAAACTGAAGAAATAAAACTTTGTATAAGTTTCAAGACCATTAACTGCCTTTACTAAAATTGAACAGACAAGCAATTTGCTGAAAAAAGTTTTAATTTAAGCAGAAAAAAATTAATACTCAGATCTATGGTAATTTATTCAACTTATTATTTAATTTGGAAATTGTGTGCACCCGGATGCACTGATACATTGATGCTCGATTTACATGCTGATGGGGAGCCATGTGGTACCCATATTGAGCCGAAACAAAAAACTTTTAAAACAATATCCAGTTCCTCTGTAATTATACCAGTAGTCAATTACAGAGTGTTGAGGGGGTTCTATAAAAGCTAAATAAGTTACCATAAATTTGGGTATTAATGTTGCGTCTGCTATGCACAATGCTTTTCCTCCTAGAAAATTTCACTGTCATGCCAAGATTAAGAATACGTTATAATATTTCTACACGTTTTTTTTGATTTTGTAGGCTTTACTCATTATTATGTGTCCACTGAAATAAATGCTTTCTGGTTCACTATTTGCACAAGTAGATTGTGACTGTCATGATTTAAGAAAAATGCCTTATTTCATAGAATTTTGAATGACTTTCACCCATTGGTCTCTTAAGTATTTATGTCCTAATAGTCAGTGTGGAAGAAAAATAACACGAAATAAGTCCCAATGCCATGGTTCAATCTCAGTACAGAAAGTCCATGTGCTTTAGTGTAATTAGTATTTTTTAAATGTGTATTTTTTGCATAAGTATATCATTTCTAGACGTTATTATAGCTTTCGTGATTGAAGTGAAGCAAATTCTTTAATCGCATTTGCAATCAAAAATAAGTCACACTGTCTGGCTGTCACGAGATGAGGCTTTCTCGTCATCTCATCTCGTGATAGCTGAACAATACATCTACGCATAAGTTGCAAACAGCTCGTTATTTCAAAATTTATTTACATGGATATACTTCCGTTTTAAATTGAATAGTCCATAATATGATGTAAATTATACTCCTATCTTATAGCATATGCTTATCAGGAAGAAATTTAAAGTGGACGAGTTTATTCTTAAAGACTTCGAACCGAATCCAGTAAGTGACTCATATGTTTATCTCCAGAATTGATTAAATCCTAATTTTTTTTTAAGCACCTATTATGAAATGAAGTTAATTTGCACCATAAAACTTTTTTATTAAATAAATGGCATATAGTTTGAAAAAAAAACTTAAAGTTTTGAGCAAGAGTGGCGCTAGACTTAGCCCGATAGGGGGTCAGCAATCCCCCGACAGGGGGGCTAAGATAATTTTGAAAATAAGCAATACTTTTTAGTATACGAATAATAATTAATATGATATACAAATTTTTGTTCTGATAAAGAATTTATCATGATTCAAATATTAACAAAGGAAAAAAATAAAGGTAATATCTGAATAAATAAAATATATATGCACATCCAGCATAAGATTCTACAGTGTTCTTAATTAAATAATGTTCTACTCAAACAATGCAACTCAAACAATAAAAAATTTATGCACAACAAGAAAAAATTCCAGAGATATCCGAAGAGCAAATTAAAACCAGTTTAGATATTTTTGTAACAGAGATATTTTTTTAAAAAATTAGTATAATTAACTAATAACTAGGTATTTCAATTTTATTTTAATTTAAACATTAAATTTTTTAAAACTCGAGTATCTTAGAAACTAAATAACATGTCATCTATATTAAAACAAAACTATAATTTGATTTACTTAAACATAATGGTTTTCTCTTTTACGCTTCAGTTCCACTTATTAAGAAACTCAAGAATATTGTTAAATAATACTAACTCAATAAATAACTTGATAAATGAAATTTAAAAAAAAATTGTTCATTGGTAAATTATTTAAGATTGAGTCGATGTTAAATAGAAGTATATAGAGTAGATGTTAAATAGATAAAAGATGTTAAAATAATCAAAAACCAGTTTATTTGCAAGATGAAGCTGTTAGGAAGTGATGAAAGATAAATGTCTTCCTTATCTTTCGGTTAAAAATTAAATAGCCAATAAATAAATTTATGATTTTAAAAGTTTAATCGCTAAGACCAAAAAACCTCTAGAAGTTATTTTTTTAGGAAGAACTATAATCTGTAATTTTAATAGAAATAATTGACTGTGTATAGTTAAGATTTATAATATTTTTGGTTTCCAAATGTAATTTAATTCGAATTTTAGTTTAACCTCGAAATATTTCACGCCTTTCAATTTGCTCAAAAAGTTATAATTAATATTATTCTTAAAAGTAGTATATCAATCAGTAATAGTAGTAAAAATATTTATTTTAATAATAAAACATGATTAAATCAAATTATACAAATTTTTACACAGTTTTATTTATTTGCAAATCGCATAGCAAATTTAAACGCATATGCAATATATCCAATACATCGTCCGAAAAACTTTTCAATGAAAATTAAATTAAAAAAATTAGTGACTTTCGTTTAAATGGACGCAAATACAATGTTATGCAAAGCGAAATTATAATTTAATAAACAACAAAAGTAAATATTTGAACTAATGTTTACAAAATAAAAATAATATATATTTTGAAACCTAAGAAAGCCGATGTAAGTTTTTGAATAGTTTTTTTCCCCACATGCTATATTATTAGAAAATTGTTTCATGCAATAGCCAAAAGTTTTAACAAAACTAGGCAATTAGTCTTTCATTTTTCAACGAAAAGTTCTGAATGAATAAAATTTTACTTAAAACATGAAATTAAAAAATATTCAAATATGAAAATTTTTTATTTTTTTATACTTGCAAAGGAATTTAGTGTTTTTTTTCATAAATGTATAAATGTTTGATTTCTTTAATGGAAAATTAAATAAGTTGTTTAAGATTGAATCAGGGCAAAGAAATTTTGGTATTAATACGTTTAATACGATACAATTAATGCGTTCGCGATTTCTTTGTACTTTATATTAAATTTTAAGAAAAAAACTATTATTAGCGATTTTTGGAATAAATTTCAAACAAAATTTTACATCGATAGTAATATTTAATACTGATAGAATATAGTAACTGAAGTATAATAAACAGTGCTCAAATGAAAAACTGTATAACCCAAATAACTTATGATTCAATGAACGGGTTTTTTCGTACTAGCCTTCAATCTTAATGGTTGGAGGACGTAGCCTTAAATATGAATTAGTACAAACACTATTTTAAGATAAAAAATTCGACACAAAACTGCAATACGATAAATAATGTCCCATTAGTCATGTCAGGAGAGTAGTGTGAAGTTCTATTATAATAATAGTTCAATGATAATATCTCAGTCTCGCCATATCTCAAGAACGTTTTGCGTTTTGAGTGAATCGAAAAATATTTCATACGATGAAAAAATTTGTTCACCCAAAGGTAATGCCATGCAAAAAATATAGTTTTAAATAGTTATAAAATATTTAATATTTTTTATATTTTTATTTATAATATGCGTAAGAAAAATTTTTGAATCCTGAATTTTGAAATCTCCGTGTAGTAAATGGAGACTGATGCACGTTAAATCTGTCGAGTCACTAAGTCCACCATGTTCCCAAAACAAATCAATACCTCTGGTGGTACTGATCCAGGAGTTTCCTTGTCTTCTGGATTTTTTCAAAATTACAAGACTACGGAGTTGAACATTAGTAGTCATAAACCCAAAAATTGGGTCGGCTGTTCGACGACGGAAAAAATAAGATAGCAAGATATACAAATTCTTATATAATTTTAAATTGTAAAATGCAAAATTTGAATGAAGTCGGTTGAATAATTCGAGATAAATAAAATTTTAAGCAAACCGACTTTGTTAAAACTTGATAACTCAGAAACTAATCGATCGATTGTTCCGAAAGTTTATATTTTGAAATTAAAAGGATGAAAAAATATGTAAAACATACAATTCAATGTGTTTTACTATTATTTAATAAACTAGTGAAAAATAACAAATAATTATTTAAGTTTATTTTTGCTTAAAAATTTGTGCATAAATTAATTTTTTTAAATTTATGCAAACATTCTTCAATACACTCAAAAAGTTCTCGAGATAATGGGCAATAATCGAAGACTGAAGTTAAAATTAAAGGACCCAAACTTTCCATCTCTCTCTTTGCCATCACTTCGGACCATATCTTCCAGATTGCGGCTGTTTCCGCATTTTGAAAATTAAAAGCCTAAAACTACAAACAAACTTGTATGGCTATCCAGAACAAAATGCGCTTTAGTTTTCATTTTTGTAACAAAAATATGGTATTGACTCCTTGTACGTGAATATACGATCAAATCAAAAGTTAATCAAGGTGTTCCCTTTTTCCATTTCATACACTGCACATAAAATAAGTCAATGAGAATCTATTATGTTGATTAATAAATATTTTAAGATATTGAATACGAACAGTTTAATTGTTTTTATGAATCAATCAACAATCTTTTTACTACTAAGAAAATGATTAAAAAGAAATAATAAATTAAATCTGCCTAAAAAATTAAAAATATTTTGTTACTGTTTGTTTTTCTTTTTTTTCCGACTTTATATTTATTGCGTTGATTAAAATATAAACCTTGAATCCGAATAAGTAAATTATTTTCCTCATTTAAAAGTATTAAAAAAATGAAAAAATTAAAACTGAAATTTTTTTATTTTATTCTTATACTTTCATTTTGCTTGAAAATTTCACAAAGCAATTATGTGATCCCATAAACCATTGATAAACACATTGCATAAAAAAGAATTTGTAAAGAAGAGCAAAGAACCCTCTATAAACTTTGTCTTTCTGTCCCTCAGGCTTTTGTGAGTTATTCCCCCAGCGATTATCCCTTCCTCAGTTCTCCAGATGAAAGAATAGCAGTTTGAAAGATAAGTTTCCAAGAAAATGAAGATGTGTCAGTGGGAAAGGATTTCTAAGGGACTTCGAAAATCGTCAATTTCAACAATGTCTAATCGCATCCGGTTTAGCAATGTATGGGCAAAGTTAGAAGTAGTGCAGTGAAACTACAATTACATAGAATTTTCAATATATTTTACGAATTTTTGTTACTAATTCTTAAAAATAAATGAATAAAAAATCAATTACAAAATGTGACCAGACTATTTTCCCGACAAGACTCTAAATTTTTCCCGATGGGGGGGGGCTGGCCATGCCCGATAGGGGTGAAATTGCCCCCCCTGACCCCCTACTAACGCCGCCCTTGGTTTTGAGGATTTTTGGACAGTCTCAGGAGTGGTGAATCAGTTGTAGTTTTTGTGTTTACTGTATCGTGCTGATCAAAAAAAGTTGATATTTGACTGAATTTTTTTTAAAGAAGGTGAATTTTGTCAAATTTCATCTTTTTATAAATACATGGTATTATAAGGTAAGTTTAGATTCAGATTTGTAGAATGGCAAGCGAAAACGAAAATAACTTTTAAATTTTAAGGATAACTTACAAAAGAAAAGCTCTCTTTGTTTATTTTTTATGTCATTTATGTCATGAGATCCCAGACTATTACACTGCCCATGACAACTTTATGTCGATTGTTTGATTTTGTGATGAGGGTCGTAATTAGAGACGTACCCGGAAAAAATTAAAAATGTTTTACAGATAATGCAGGTTCCGGGTACCTGTAGCATAGAGTTTATAATTAATTTTGGGTTAATGCCTGGTAGGTAGGGAGTTGGGCGCATGTCCCACAGGTCGTGACTTAGATCCCCGCCGACCGAAGACTATCCGTGTTGCAAATGGGGACTGGTGCACGTTGGATCTGTCGGGTCAAAAAAGTTATCATAACAAATCACTCATCTGGGAGTACCGAATTGGAGATTGATCCGTTCTCTGAAGATCAGATCGTTCTCTGGTTCAGGTCAGAACGATTTATAAATGAATGAATGGGTAAATGAATGAATGTATGAATGGCTCCTTTCTATAAACGGGCAGTGACATGCGTGAGGCTAAAGTTGCATTCTTGACTGCAAGATGGCGCCACCGAAAAACAAGAAACGCACTCTCTACCTTAAAGTCACTTTGTTTCACCAAGCAGGCTTGCTGTATTGGCAAGTGGCATTAGAAACAACAACAGCAATATAATTATTTTTTCATTTGATGTACTTATGTTTTCAACAACATTCATCTGTTTACCCTACACGTTCAATAATTCCTTTTTTTGCCAAGCGAATTTGTTTTTCTTTAGGAATATATTAAAATAAATCAATCCATTCATTTATGATAAAGGAATTTTTATTTCCACATTACAGATTTTAAAGGAATATTTATCTTCAAGCTTTGTGGGTTATGATAAAGAAGGATCGGTAGTGCGGTATGCAGATGCTGGAAACATGGACACGAAAGGTAAGAAATAATCTAATCTAATCTATCTACAAATATGCCGCATGCCTTAAAAAATCAAATACCCTTACTTAAAACTATGCAATAAGCTAAAATGATAACATATAAAACTCATTATTAAATGTTATGTTTAACAAGTCTTCCCTTTAATATACAGGGCGAGTCTGAACAAGACTGTAAAACATTACCGGATGATAGAACTCAACTACACGAGCAATATTCGTCATAGAATGTATGATCGAAAAACAAACTGTGAGAAGTTAAAAGCTACTGTCACGTTTATAGAATGAGCGCAAGAATGGGAAGAGATGTTTCAGAAAACTTTTTATTCTTGGGAATATGATTGATGTACAGCGCGCATAGAAGAAAAGGGTCCACCTTGAATAACTTTTGATCTAATGATTAGATATACGCATTTTAGGAAAGCATTTTTATTGGTTCGAGGGGATGACTTCAAACATGCTAATTAACTAGTGTAATGCTAATATGCTAGTTAGTAATACAGTCAAACCCCGCTATAGTGAACGCGGCTTATAGTGAACTCCCGGATATAGTGAACGAAATGCTCGGTCCCGTGCCTTGCTATACACGTATAATGTTATTTTTAGTGGATATAGTGAACCAAAAAAGTGAGGAAGTTGGATATAATGAACTTTTTTCTGTCTTCGACTGATTCCCCCCCCATTTTACTTTGTAATAATTTTGAAATTTCTACTTCAAAATAAATACATATACTGATTTTTAAAACCGTCTATAGAAACTACTTTTACGTGCTCGAATGCAGGTTAGACAGGTTTAAAAAGCGGAATAACAGAAATTCAGGAAAAATTATCTGAGAGTCGGGAAGTGTTTCCATATCTGATGTTGAGGATTGCTCATCAGCTAAAGATGACTAATTTTTATTTATACGCAAGACGAAGAGTGATGAAAAATAACACATTTTTTACTACTACGTAATATTTTTCAGTCATTTATATGAATATAATGTAATAAAAGGGAGGAGTTTGGGAACCATTAGTGAAATTGTTTGCGTAATGGATATAGTGAACTCCCGGCTATAGTGAACCGAAATTTCGGTCCATTGAAAGTTCACTATAGCGGGGTTTGACTGTAGTTATAATTATTAGTAATAGTAATAGTTAATTAGCAAATGGCTAATTAACTAGTATTAATTTTTCGAGCTTTCTGTGACAAAACTCTGGAGCACTAAAATCTTTCTGCTATATATTTTCTATGATAACAAGGATGTTTGTTACTAATTTAAAGTAACAAAATCGCCGTGTTTACAAAAACGAAATTTTTTTTTTAAAATTGAATATGTAATATTCTTTTGATTCAAATATTATGGACGATATTCTCTCATTTTTTTTGGGGGGGGGAAGCGTTAATTATTTCCTTTATCGCATTTTGCAAATCATCATTACATTAAAAAAATAATTTAATGTCATGAAATCTGTAGCAGTAATTAACGAAAAACAAATCGACGACAAAATCACGCGAATCGGACTCTTCAGAAAGGGATTACTCAAATGCATGCTTCATTTTAAGATTTGATTGTTGTAACAAATAATACCGCATAAAAAATTTATTGAGCAGTTCCAGGGAAATCAAATTTTAAGGAAGTCGAATATTTAAAATTCGATTTCTCAAGAGCTGTTCAACCGATTTCGCACAAATTTTGTATTTTGCAGTGTAAAATTATGTACTTTAAAATTATATGAAAAATTGAATACCTTAAAAAGCAAAATTTTTCAAATATTTTTAAATAAAATAAGAAAAATTATAAATATTTACTTAGATTTTTTTTCTGCCCTGAATTATCTTCGGAACCATTTGAGAACAAGAAACAAACCATTTTGAGAATGTGAAAATTGCTAAAAACGTATGCAGATTCTGAATTGAGTGGAAACCTTTGTTTCACCTTCCGAACCCCATGGATCTCATTAAATGTGACATTTTTCTATGGGGTAACCATATATCACTAGTTTATAGTTGTCTGTGAATACATCATATGATCTGAAAGCGGGGATCGTCAACGCGTTGGTAAATATTAAATGTACACACGGCATCTAGGATGGCGTTGATCGCCATTACTAATATTTTAGTGGTAGTTTTAGTATCATCATTGATTTTTGGCCGTTACATATACATCTTAATTTGGATGCAATTGAATGATAATTGTAAACGAATCTAATTTACAATTACAGAAAAAGACAGAAAGGTTTAAATTTATTTGTATTAATAAAACAGATTTTCTTTCAGCTATAGGAACTTACAGAATTACCGTAAAGAATATTAATCTTACTTTTAAATACTATAATTATGATGTTTTAATTCAAAATATTTCAAAACGTTCAACTAGTCCGGCAGATATTGAAGCCTACATAAACAGGTTTATGCGGTGAAATTTAGGATTTCTTTTCCAAAGCAGATGACAGCACTTATAAAAAGTTTTTTTTGCTCATTGAATATCTTTTTTTTTCATTGTTCAAGCTTTTCAAATAGGGGTCAGCACTTGAGTTATTTATAATATTTTCTTACTGATTTGAAGATTTATATTTTATTTTGATTTGGTTATTCTAACTGTAACTATTTTTATTTATAAGTGGGCGTTTCATTTTGAACTCTTACTATGTGTACTGTTAACTAGTGTTTGCTGGTTCATTATTTTTCTGTGCTTTTCAATTCTTGTAATGATTTTCCTTTATTTGTCTATCCATTATGGGGCCTCGGGGCACTGTCAGTTTTGGTTTTTCCACTGACAACAGAAAGGCTCCTGTGTGTTGTCAGGCAGTGTGTCCCCTGAAGAAGCGCTGTCTTGCTAAGACACATATCTTTTATTTCATTGCTTTTCATTTCTTTTTCCAGCTTTAAAGTTTTTGTTTGAAAATCTAAAATGGTAATTGTCTCAGAGAAATAAATAAAATCGTTTAAGAAAAATAGATTTATTAAATATTGAAAACGGCCATAATTCAAAAATAATAAAGAAATGAAATCCCTTAAAGGGATCAAGATAAAACATTCTCATACATCGAGATTTTAGTTAGCATGAATTTTCAGTTAAGATTCATATTCAACTTTTGGAACTGGGAGGCCCAAAAGGACACCCCTTTTAGCCAAAAATTGGAAATTGAAAGTGAATGAATTTGTTCCCAGCGGACAGTTAGGAGCATGGCGAAAGAGATCCAAGGTTGGCGAATTATCGAAAAATAACATAGCCAAAAATAAAGCCAGCTCCCCCATAATCCATATTACGTTTGAAAATACTTTGGCGATCACAAATCGCCAACAAGACTGTGAGAATTAGTTTAACCATGTAACTGAAACATATTTGTGGTAAAGAAGTTAATAATAAAGAGTTATAAATGGATTTTTTGTTTTTGATTAGGTGCGACAGGGAAATAATGAGTCTACATTAGAATTGAAATAAAAAGTTTGGCGTTACTTGATCGATAAGAAAAGAATAAAATATTTTATGTTCGCTTTTTTATAAAAATTAACAAAAAATAAACATTTTTTACAAAAAGTGTCCTCATTAATGCAGGTCTTTTTTCCATGTTCACTTTTGAGGAAATAGCCCAGTATGTTGCATATTACTTCTTAAGTGATGTTGATCGACTTACAGAACAAAGCAAAAAGGTAAGTGATTGTAATTTGACATTCGTAGAATTAATTTAGAAACTCTAATAGCTTTTGTAAATCAAATGTGCAAAGATGTTATAAAATAATTAAATTCATTTATAAACTTAAAAATGATATTGCAAATAACAATTTATACGATTTTTAAACTTTAGGAAATTGTCAGCTCTTTAAGCCCTAATATACACAATGTGTTTTGTGATTTTCAGTATTATTGGAGAATATTTCGTCAGATCACAAAAATAAAGATATCTTTAATAACTTTTGTTTTAATAATCGGATTTATACACACTAAGTGCCGATTATAATAGCTCCTAAAGAAAACCGTAATTATGCTAATGAATTAGTCCTAACTATTAATTGAGCTAAAGGAACAGACACAAATACGTTAATTTTCTGAATAAACATACATTTTATTCAAAGAATCTTGAGTTTTAACAATCAAAATAAAGGGAATATTTTTATTTCATAAGCCTCATTAAATTTTGAGCTTACAACTTCCAATGCTCAACTCCCTAGTCTTGTAATTTTGAACGCAATCCAAAAGACTCGGGACCTCTTGGATCACGTATTGGGGGAAATTTGCCTTCAAGGAGGAATTTTTGATGGAACTTATCTGCATTTGTGCTATACGGAGAGAAAAACCATGAAAATCTCACATGGTTAGCCTGACGACAAGGAGACTCTATCCCATGATTCGTCTACCACGGAGGATATATTACGTAGGCACCGTGGTTTGTGATAGCCGAGAGAAGAATACGTATCGACTAACCATTCGAACCCAGGTCATCTCATTAGGAGCCGAGTACTCTATCCCCTAAGCCATCAATACTCAAATATGAGGTATAGCCGCAAATCCGAAAACTTAGTCCTAATAATTAACAATGAGAGATTTTTTACGTAAGCACTGTGAGGCAATGGTTACACTGAGATTATTTTACGTAAGCACTGTGGTTTGAGATAGCCGAGTGCGGAATTCGTACCCACCAGCCATTCGAACCCGGATCATCTCATTAAGAGGCGAGAGCGCTGTCCCCTAAGCCACCACGGCTGAAATAGTCCCTGAATATGAGGTATAGCCGAAAATCAGAAAACTTGGTGTTTAGTTTTGGCAGGAGAGCAGGCAAAAGTTCACCTATCAATGTTAATTTTAATTTCTGCGTAGCCATATCACGGGGAAAATATTTTTTGCACACAATTACAAAATTCGATTCTCCCAAGATAATTCCATTTTAAAAACAATTTTAATTTTTTTTAATTATTGTATAAAAATAGAAAAAAACTTTTAAAGTTTACAAATTTACACACCATTTGAACTGTGCCATTTTGATTAACAAAATACAAAATTTCAGCTCAAGCAGTTGGATTGTTTCCAAAAAATCAAATTTTAAATGTGTATCATTTATAAAATTTGGCAATATTCGATCGAATCTGCCCACAAATTTCTGTATTTTGCCAATTCGAATAACATAGTTTGAAATCATGAAAAATGTTTGTGGTAAATGTCTACTATCACGGTTGAATATTACTACACGTATATATAATTAACCATTCTTAAGGCGAATAGAATTTCTCAAGCGTTTTTTGATAAATCTAATGTAAAACTTACGAAAAGAGCAACCAATAATAAAAAAAGTATCTTTTACATGCCAATTTATATTGGTAGTTTGTAGCAGGGATCAAAAAACGTATTCTGTCGGTTTAGGGAGTTCATATCCAAAAAATGTATTGATTATAAAACTTGGCGATTATTTTGGTGCTGGTACCAATGCTGAAATTTTTTCCAATGTTTGATTTTTTAAGTAAAATCGTCTCGTATTTAGTTATGAAGTATATTAATTTCAGTTGGGAAAACCTGTAATACAATTTACATGGATTATGAATCTTGAAAATCTCATTTTATTTTCAATAACTTATAAGAAAGATAAATTCGTATTTAGTTATGAAGTATATTTATTTCGGTTGGGAAAAGCTGTAACACAATTTACATGGATTATGAATCATGAAAATCTCAGTTTATTTTCAGTCACTTATAAGAAAGGTAAATTCTTATTTAGTTATGAAGTATATTCATTTCAGTTGTTTTATGATTATTTTTTGATATTACGATCTTCAATAGAATTAAATTTGAATGATTTTAGCATGCTTTATTCTCTATCAGAGTTAGATGATATGAAAAACTTTCCGTGAATACAAAATCTTAGTAAAAAATCTTTCCGCACGCATTGATTAACTCTTGTAACTAGTTTTAACTCTTTCGTTGCCAAATACCTGAAAACAACGAACAGAACAACAACCAGAATAAAATTGTTTGAAAACAACGAAAATTTGCAAAAATATTTAATTTTTATAGAACTCTATATTGAACTCTCTTATAGAACTTTATATAATTTGTACAGAACTCTCTATTCATACCACAAAGATAAATTTGGTAAAAAATCAAAAAAACTGAAATAGAATCCCAATAACGTTATATGCTATAACACACTTTAAATAATTGAAAAAATATCTGAAATTTGAGCAAGAAATAAAATTTTGTAGGTCACATGTGGGGGTATCCGTGATCTTCTTGAAGTACAAGTACCCAATTGTAAGTTCCAAGCCAATTAAAAAAATTCAATTTTTCATATAGCTCGACTGAACAAACAAATATTTTGAAATAATTTTTGAGTCGGGGGCTAAATTTATGTCCAAATTTCAGAATGATAAAAACAATCGTTCCTGAGATAGAATTAGTTACACACTGACAGACAAACTCCTCATTTTATTATTAATATAAATATTACGCTCATCTCATGAGTTGTGAAGTTACGAGATAGATACTGATAATGAACGAGGAAAATTAATACTTATCGTGAAAGTTATCTGAACCGTGACTATTACAAACCCAGAAATACTTTTTGAGTTTCCACTATTCACAAAACGATCTCGATCTTGAGATCAATTTATGTTATTGAGTTATTTGAAGTCATAGAACTCGATTCCACAGTTTTAAGAATTGCGTAACTTCTAACTTAAATTTTGCGTCGGAGAAGTAGTGAGGTGGCAACTTCTTAGAAAATATAGTGTAACAAAGAGAACTTCATTTTAATACATTTAATATTCACTCATTTGATACGCTCTAATAGGAATATAATTTCTCCTTTGTTTAATAGAAATAGAAATTGTCTTGGTTATGCACTTTAATTTTCTATCTTAGAATTTTTTTAGGGGGAGGAGGAAGGAAGAGTCCAAAATCTCTCAGACATCCCCGAGTCGGATTTGTATTCAACTGAGCGGATTTGCCAATTTGTTGACGGCAGTTTTTTGGCAAGGTTTTTTTAATGAGTGAAAGGTTTTTTTTAATGAATTAAGAATGGAATTTGGAACACTCTGCACGAAAAACGTTTCTTCGAATTCTTAAGTTTCAGCTGATACTGTTAGGACTTCTTTCTTCTATTGTTCTCACACGTTGATTTTGAATTAGGAATTGTCATGGCCAGCTAATTGCGTTTAATTTTCAATCTTGAATTTTTTAGGGGGGGGGGTGGATAATCCGGAGCCCTCATACTCCACTAAAATGTATTCAACAAACTGGAATTTCTAGTTCATTGACGCCATTTTTTTTGGCAAGGTACTTCAAGGAACGATAATGATTACGAACACTCTGCATAAGAAATGTTTCTTCCAAAAAAAAACTCTTTTTTTAATATTTCCAGTCAACCCATTTGCAAGTAAAAGCAATGTATGTTAGTTCTATCACATTTATATAAATATGAGTTCAGTTGATAGAGTTAGGTTGCTTGAGAGATTCAGATGACACCATTTGGGCAATATCCTCAGATGTGCATACTACTAAATTAAGTAAAATTAATAAATCGTTTCATAAATTGTACAGTGAGCATGAAATAAATATAACACTTAAATGACTATTGCTCTAATCAAGTTCTTATGCACTAAGAAACAACATTTATTGGTTTGAAGGCTTGACCTAATATATAATTTGAGAAATGAAAATTTAAAAATATGGCCTTTTTGCAATTTTATTACTCAATTTATTCAGGCAAACAACGAGACAGTTTTACAGATGAGTAAGTTTTACAATTGCGCTCGAAATGTTTGTGATTATTAAAGACATGCGGAAAAATACTTTAAAAGTGAAAATGATATTAAGGAGCTCAAATTTTTACCATTCTCCCAGCTAAACCCTAGCGGCTATATTACTCAGAAGGAGTTTGCTTTCTCTTGTTTTAAGATCCAATGAGTTATTCAAACCCGATGAAAAACTTGGCTTGTTTATTCATTTTACATTATTGTATCTGTTTTTTTTTAACTTAAAATATAGTCTGAATTCTTTATTTGCATATTTTATGTCAATCCTTTGAAGCCATGAGATTGGCTGTTAGTTCGTAAGAATTCGATCATTTGCTCAAAAGTTATTCAAGTGTTCCGTTTTTTATTTCGCACACTATACCCTGTTAAATCTACACATTTTGTTCATTTCGTTCATTTTGTTCTTTTTTTAAGCGATTCAATATTATTACGAAGGGGCTCTCTTATATCAAGTCATGTTTCCAGAAAGAGTAAAAGCATTTTATTTTATAAATGGTGAGTGTGCTATTTTAATTTATATACTGTTTAACTGAATAATTATACGCCAGATATCTAGAGCACAGTCTATGACTGTGGTTAACTGTTTCAAGTAGAGAGAAATATTCAGTTCTAATTTTGATTAGGATTAGCATTAGAAGCACTAAAATCCCTTTTCAATTTAATGCGTTTTGTTCCCATAGCTGTTTGTTTTCTTTTTGCTCCCATATCTGAAGACAGTAAGGCTGCAAGAATTTTCCGGTTAGATAGACAATGCTCGTTTACTAAAAAAATAATTTTTAAATAAATTATTTAGAAAATTCAACCATGTGGTTGATGAAATTTTGAAACAAAACCATGGAACAAATTATTCAATCGTCAGTTTGAGAAGTTTAATAAAATAGTCATGATTTATTATTAGGAATTGATTT